GCTTTTCTCACAGCCTACTTGTGCTGGTTGGGGCTGGTTATGGTGTTATGTAACTGCCTGTCCGATGAGCCTGCGTACTTACATCAGGCAGTGAAAGCAGACCTACTGTGGGTTTCAAGTAGAGCCTGACAGCAGTATCGGCTAATTTAATCGCTGATATGCTCCAATATTACTGGATTTATTCAATAGTCTAAAAGCATTTCATTTGAATATCGTTGTAGCAGTTCTCTTTGTGGCTGTCACAAGCAGAGTGTGTTTTATGGATTATAACAAGCATGATCACTAAATATCAAACATAGATCTAAGAAAGATATCGGCCGATATATCAGCATCAGATTTTTTCTCTCCCCATTAACAATATCCGTTTCGGCCACAAAAATCCCACATCGGTCGGGCCCTAGTTTCAAGGTTGGTCTTTAATGTTAGGGTTCTGATTTCTAATTAACTTAATTTAAAACAGTGCTTAACATACATGAAACAGTCAGAAACCATTGTCGCTTGCCATGTAACCAAATAACTACACTGATGAATCAATGCTTACATTTGACTTCAGCTTTTTATATTTTTATGTTTAAGCAAATTAATTTGCCATATTGGAGCTTTCAGCACCAAATGATTGTTAATCTATTTATTTTCAAAGTTAACATCTAGTTAGCATTAATTGATTTCTGATCAACTCTTTAATAAGTTCATAATCATTATTACAAATAAGTCTGATAAAGTCTTATTTTACCATTGTGTAGTGTAGAAAATAATTAAATCTGTGTTAAAATTCAACTGTTAGCTTATTAATGTTCTTCAAAGGCCTTTTGTATCTTAAGTATCTTTGCTAATGCTAACGCCGTCTCATAATGCATTCTTACTTACTATGTTTTTCATTGACTCTGATATGAGAGACCTGGCTTCATGACTCATTTAAATGCTTCATTAAAGATAAACACCAAATGAGTCAAGCTTAAAGTCTCTTTAATTCAAACACAGTTAAAGAGCCTTTGAACTAAAGACTGTTGAAGGCTGTCATCGTATTTCAGTGCGAGCCCTGAATGAAATGTCCGCCTGTCCCTTTAAGATCAGTCGTGTCAGATTCTCTCGAGAGGGACGCTGCTGTGAAGCTGAGATCCAGAGAAAAAATGGGTCATGTACTCATAGGTGAAAGTCCCTGAAGGGGGCATAACCACGAGTCAAAGGGAGAAACTGTCAGCTCTTCACTGCTGCATCATGTGCAGAGTCACTGAACCTATCAGCTTTGTCTTATAGCACAAAACATGGCTTCTTCTTTTTGGTAACAATGACAGTGGTCAGTTTGTTGGAATTAGTCGAAATAGCAAAACATTTATTTTTTACATCGTTTGTGCCAGTTCTTTTATTTTAATGCTTTCAGTCACTCTTCGTTTTCCACTCTCTGTCCTCCAAGAGGACGAGAGGATGTGTATCCTGTTAAACTGGATGTGAGAGATTATGAGGTGTGTGTGTGTGTGTGTGTGTGTGTGTGTGTGTGTGTGTGTGTGTGTGCGCCTGCCTGTTTGGTTGACACAGCTGTTGCGCTGTTTTTTCAGGTTCCTTCCCTTCTGTCTGACTGCTGGGTTCTTTATTGTTGTGCTTGTATCAGAAGGTCAAAGAGGAAAAATCAACAGCACAGTCTCAGACGTCAGTTACAAGAGTAAAGCACCCGTGCCACCCGCTTGACTTTCTGATGTTCGTTTCTGTGATAACTCTTGAAGGAGGTAAAAGGAGTGTGGAAATAGCTTTGGAATGGAGTGTTTATTTTTCTTTACCATTTGCTCTATAACTTTATCTCTTTTCCAAATCTTGACATTTTTAAAAGTGAACCATGTAGATTTGGTAGTAAAATTTGAAAGTTGGAGAAGTGAAACAATTCAATGCTATATTTTCTAACCTGAATACACAAACCTTACTCAAAAAAACTACCTGGAGAGTTACGCTTTCACTGTTGCGACCCCTCACCATAACATTTTTTCTTCCAACAGTGGTCAGGGGAGCACATTTTCCTCTGAGGACAGTTTGTGAATAGAGTTATGAACATTTACAACAGAATCTGTACACTTCTCCAACTTTCACATTTCTGTACCAAAACTCCACAGTGCAAAAGTTGTTTTTTGTTTCTTTCAGCTGTAGTGGAAGATTTAATCCAGTATTTATTTAGAAGTATCCCCTTTAAAATACTTTTTGACGGAGAACACATTTGCATTCCAGTGTTTCTCCTAGGTTTACAGCGTTGGGGGGGTGGGGACAAGCCGACACAACAACACGACGACACAAACACTTGAAAGAATCTTGGTGTTCATGTGTTACTTTTAGTGACAGATGTCCTTTTCTATCAGAAAGGTATCCTTAAATGACTTCTTTCCCTGATTATGGACTCTATCCACTATCCTATCTCTACATTAAATGCACAAAAAGCCCAAAAATAAATCTTACATTTTTTATTTTTTTTACTTGACCTTCGGGGGGCTGCCCCCCCAATATAATGGTAGGGGAAACACTGCATTCTAAAAAAGGGGAAAAAGTCATACAATGTCATGATTAGTTCAGTACCTGGAGCTGCTTTTATCAGGAAGCCCTTATCAGAAAAATGCTGCAGCACAGCACCAGAGGAAACACATCAGCTGCTGCAGGGTAAAAAGGAAAATAAGTGACGGATAACCCCAGAGCTTTTTGTTTGTAGACAAGCTCCTTCTGAGGTGTGGAGCCACTGCTTGGGGAAAAAACAAGTCGAGCAGTTTCATCAGCTCCTCAGTCAAAGTTCTCAGTCTTTAATAAGCCAAAAAGCCCTGAGTGTCAGGTTTTTGTTGTTTTGGTTTAGGTCTGCTGTGCTGACACAGCAGCTTAAAGAACAGGACACGGAAGGTGCTAGTAATAATAGTCTGAAGCAGAGTCGGGGAATCTCTCTGTCATTTAGTGAGAACAGAACTGGGACTGTTCCAAGTTCATACATCCCACAGGAGGTCAGATACAGTTCCTCTGACTCAAAGGAGGTGCAGGTTGGAGTCTCATTGTTCCAGGATTCACTAGGTCAAATTCCAGTCATATCGTTCATACAGTCTGTAGGCCTGCAATTAAAGGACCAGTCTGTAGTTATTTAGAAAGCATTCATTTGAGTTATATTCACATACACCTGGATATCATTCCCTTTATCTTATCCTTCCTTCCTTTCTTCCTTCCTTCCTTCCTTCTTATAAATCAGGGTTTTTACAAAGTCTGACGCTTTGAGCCCTTCCTCTGACAAAATGGAGACAAACATGTAACACCTTAACACCCCTTACCAAGAGAGCAAACTGACAGACATTGATATTACGTTTTTTTTTCCACAGCCATCATTATTCTCCATCTTACAGTACTTATGTTGAGAAACAATCATGCTTTCCTTTTTTAACTCTATAAGCAGATTAACAGTTCCACATGTTTTCATGCTTTGGTTAATTAGCTGTAGCCTTAGCTCTCGTCTTTTTAAGCCACATTTTGACTCCATTAAAGGCGTGTCAGACCGGCCATTAACAGTTTATGTTGTACACTTGAATTTACAGACATGTATTACTTGATTACTTTAGAAAAGTAAACATGATGAACACATTATAAAGTTATTAAGCTAATTATCTCCTTGTCAGGGAACACCAAACTGAGTCTTAATTGTGGCCTCAGATTTGACCGTAGACTAGTCTATTAAAAAAAAGGACTTATCCCCCGCCAGCTATTGTCTTTGTGACGTACCGTTTTAAGCTTTGAATTTAGCATCTTGGTTATTTTGGTGCCAGACATGACCTAGTGGATGTCCATGACTACACTATTATCCAAGTTGAAAGATGGTCTTCACAGTAACATGTCAATTGTGACATTATTATTTTAGGGTTTTATTTAGCTAGAAAGCTGATTGTTTCTGTATTCGATGTGTGTTCAGCAGTACTGTTTGAGTCCTTTTTAATCTGTGGTAATCCATCAGTATCTGTGTTGCCTCAGGTTTATGCCTGGGCCAAAGGGCTTAGTGGTTTAGATTCACTGCAATCCAGCATGATGTTAAACAGTAATTCACCCTAAATGGATTTATCTTAATACAGCTGGCAGATGGTTGGTACAATGATCAGGCTAATGTCAGAGCCACGGCATCAAAATGACCACCGCTGCTTGATCTCACAGTGGACAGGATTATCTCTCCTCTGTGGATCTTTGAGACTACAGAGATATGAAGCAGCATCATTCCCCGACAGTCTCTGTGTGTATATTCGCCGCTGTAGAAGATCTGTGGTCATTAACCTTGTACAGGCTATATTTGTCCTTCACATGTTTACTGCCCCCCAGTGTTGGAAATGCATTGTGGGATGTTCAGATTTAGACCAATGCCAGTAGGGCAGGATAATGTAAGAGCTGTTTCCACTGCAGTTTGTATTTATTGTTGAGTTGAATTAGAGTCAGGTGAGACAATGGAGCCCGAACATTTACATTTTCCCTTGAGTGCAGTAGTCTATACTCATGTGGCTGAATTTAAAGAAGCCTGAATTATCAGTGTTAGTGGTTAGGCCACAAGTGTTTCCCTCCATTGCTAGCGTTGATTCATTGCTGGGAGCACTGGTAGCCTATAGTGGTTAGTGCGCGCCCCACATTTGGAGGCTATCGTCCCCATGGCTCAGCCTGGGTTCAAATCCTGTGGCTCCTTTCCCGCATGTCATTCTCCAATCTCCAGCGATGTTAGGCTGAGCAGATGATGGATGGATGAAATTCCTGAAACAGTTGTTGAGGTATTTTTTTCACTGTCTGAATTTCTAATTGGGATTTCATTGGATTTACACGATAACCAGCTTTTCTGATTTATGCAAATATGAGGGAGCAGAGGCCTTCTGCTGTAAGGATGATGAAAAAGCCCTTGTCACTCTGTACGAGTATTATGAATATTCTCTGATGAGGAAATGCACTCCATCATTTTATCACTCCATCATATTTTCATGCATTAGTCAGAATACTAATTTTCCTTTTCTTTTCTTTTACAGAGATTATGAATGATGTGATCAAGAAGGTGAAGAAGAAGGGAGAATGGAAGGTAAGAAAATAGCTCATTATGGGTGTACAGTTGCACCAGTGGGGCCACCAGTGTGAAAGTCTGAGACTAAAACTGATCAGTGAAGTAACAAAAATCCCTGCAGCCTCTTTTGCAGCTTTGCCAATCATTCCATTTAATGAATTAGTTTGATGCTTTAAATTCTAGGAAACAAAACCTGTCAAGCCACAACTGATTTGCAACTGTCTGCAGGCTTATTCAGCATTTTCCTCCCTGTCTAGTATTTGAATAATGATATCACTGAAACCATTATGTATTTTTCTGCTTATCTCTATCGTCTGTGTTAAAGATAAGAGCAATCACTTGATGATTAAATTAGTCAAATGACAAAAACATTTAGCGTTGATGGAGGGAGGGAAACACTTGTGGGAATATTTAATGTGAGTAATTAACTGTGTTTGAATAGTATCCAACTGTCGTACTTCCTGTTTCCAGGCGCTGATCGTGGACCAGCTCAGCATGAGGATGTTGTCATCCTGCTGCAAGATGACAGACATCATGACAGAGGGCATCACCAGTAAGACACCTTAAGCTCAGCTCCCATTACATCGCTTAGTTTGTGTGTGTGCGCTCTTCTTTAACCGTTTACCTTTTCCTCTAGTTGTGGAGGACATCAACAAGCGACGAGAGCCTCTTCCCAGCCTGGAGGCCATTTTCCTGATTACACCCACAGAGAAGGTACGGTGAACACTCTCCTCTCTCTCTCTCTCTCTCTCTCTCTTTGTCTGTCTGTCTGTCTCTCTCTTTGTCTGTCTCTCTCTCTCTTTGTCTGTCTCTCTCTCTTTATCTCTCTCTCTCTCTGTCTCTCTCTCTCTGTCTCTCTCTCTCTCGCTCTGTCTCTCTGTCTGTCTCTCTCTCTCTCTCTCTCTCTCTCTCTCTCTCTCTCGCTGTCTCTCTCTCTCTCTCTCTCTCTCTCTCTCTCTGTCTCTCTCTCTCTCTCTCTCTCTCTCTCTGTCTCTCTCTCTCTCTCTCTCTCTCTCTCTCTCTCTCTGTCTTTCTTTAGTCTATAGTTTACATTAAGAGGTTTTGTATTAGGAGAACAGAGAAGCCAAACTCACAGCTGTTGACTCAGCTGTAGAAAAATCTGCTTTATTGTGAATACATTTAATTTAGTTCAGTGACATCATGGTATATTTATAAGTGTAATAGATTACATACTGTAGGTCTTTTACAGACAGAATATACCCCCGCCTACATTTCTGCAAAGTGTTCTAAATCAAAAGATTAAGTCCTACTGCAAACATTTAAGATACACAAATATGTAAAGGAGGAACTATGTTTAGCACTTCAATGCAAAATAAATAAAAGACATTAGGAAAATATTTAGGAAAAAAGCAAACAAAACTACAACAGTTTAGTGTGTTTTCAGTTGTTGATCATATATTTAGCTGTTTCAACAACATGAAGTCTTGTAAGTAATTAAATCATTTAACTGTTATTTTTAATCTTATTGTCTGTTTTTTTAGGCTCTATAAATATAAGCAGACATTTCAAAAGCTGCTTAAAGCTATTACATCTTGTGGTTATTCATTCATGACACTTTGGTGACATCATTCATTATAGTAATGAAGCTTCACTGTATTGAAGTGCTCACTTATACACATGAACTGTCCTGACTACACCCACATGAACTTTACAAACGTCTTCATGATCTAATCAACGCGATGTATTTTTCCAGTCCGTCCAAACCCTCATCGCCGACTTCAAAGACATTCATTCAGCCAAATACAAGGCAGCCCATGTGTTCTTCACTGACTGTGAGTATCCTAACCGAGACCTACTTCATCATTCTTGGATGAAAAGAAAATGTCTTTTTGTTCAACAGTTTATGTTTGAAATGAAATAAAAAAGGATTTGAACAAACAAATCAAACTCTGTAGTAATCAAGTGAACAGCCATATCCAGGACGCAAACAACACACAAAACAGACATATATAGAGAAGTGCTTTATATTTTAGCATTGAATCTAAATCATTTTTATTACATAAAAATCTCCAGCTATGAATTTATGAATTTCTAACCTTTTTTTAATCAATGTCCTGTTTTCAGCTTGCCCTGATCCTCTGTTCAATGAGCTGACGAAGAGCCGCGCTTCCAAAAGCATCAAAACTCTGACAGAGATCAACATTGCCTTCTTACCCTACGAGTCGCAGGTAAATAACCATCTGTGCATAACTAACTAATTCTGCTGCTGTAAGAGAAACACTGATAGTGTTGGTTGTGATTATGTGCTATGTTTACATTTATTTATAAAACAGAACCATTGATACATATGTTCTATATACTGTATGTAAATCTTTCTACAGTGCAAAGGCTTATTTCTGTCTTTTGAACCAACACAACATTTTACTCATCAGGCCCCAGGATTGTTAATCCTTCCTTGTCGTTATTCACCTTCCTTTTCCCGTTCTCGCAAGCAAGAAATATAAGCTGGTTCATTGATTTGTTAGCGACTGTGAGTGAAAACCAGAGCAAGAGAGAGAGAGATTTTAAGATGGAAAGCTTTAGCAAAGGGCAGAGAGAGATCGACTAAGACAGGTAGGAGGAGAGAGATGCAGCAAAGGATGCAGACAGGAATAGTAGCTGTGAGGTTATTGGTTGAGGATGGATAAAAAGAGACGAGAAAGAAACACACATTTTCACTCAGGTGGCCGCTTGGCACAACGCTGCTGACTCACCAGTCGCTGTGTTTAGTGCCAGCCTCACATTTATTATCGCCTTCCCTTTCTCACTTCCCTTGCGATCTTTTCAAATTCCTGCCTCCATCATGTTTTTCCTCCGGTGCCCCTCCCCTGTCCATGTTTTCTCTCTTTTTTTATCCCACCATTCCTCCGTCCCTGCCTTTTGAATTTTACTTTTAAGGTCTCTGCTCTTCATTTTCTCATCTAATTTTTAATTATATAATTTCCCGTCCTCCGAGCATATTTTTCCAAATTTTCCCTCCCTCCCTCCCTCCCCCAGCCTTCTCTCTCTCTCTCTCTCTCTCTCTCTCTCTCTCTCCCTCTCTTTCTCTCTCTCTCTATCTCTCACATCTCTCCTTCTGTCCATCCTCGTCTCTCACTCTATCGGAAGATGCTGCTTGGCCCACAATGCTTTGCTCCTCTCCTGTCTACTATGATTAATTCAGAGTCAGTGGTTTTCTGCTTCAGGCAAAGCGCTGCCTCATAGCCCCGCCCACAGACTGATGCTCTCAAATCCATTGGATGAGTCAGGATCCATACAGCATGCGGTAGCCAATTGTAGACAGGCTAAGATAGGGACCCTTCTGCAGAGCAGTAAAAACTGGTCGTGTGACTGGACAGATGGGGTGGGAGGAGGGAGTAATGTAGGAGAGGAGGAAAGGAGAAGAGGGAGAGGAGTTAAGGACAAACAGTAGAGGAAACATTACAAGTCAGGGGAGGAGAGAAAGATGAGAGAAAAGGTGAGGCAGGAGAGGAGAGGAGGTGAGCAAATTAGATAAGGAGGAGTGAGGAGAGGACAAAAAGGAGAAAAGAAGAGAGGATACTACACACGAGCAGCAGAGAGAGAGGAGGACAGGAGAAGTGAGGCTGAGGAAGAACATGAGGCGGAATGAAAACTAAAAATCTGAGAAAATGCAGAAAAAGCGAATAAAGGACGAAATTAAAGGAGAAAGGCAAAGAGACGACAGCAGTATAAAGGTAAATGAGATGAGGGTAACCAGGAAGTGAGAGGGGAGAGAAGACAGATGGAGGAAAGGTGACACATGAGAGGAGAGGACAAAAATGAAATGAGTAAGAAGAATGACAGAAGGCAGGATCATTGACAGATGAGAAGAAATAGAGAAGGATAAACAATAAGTAAAAGATAGAAAATTGGAGGATAAAGGGAAAGAGAGGAAGAGGCAGAAGAAAGGGTAGATAAGCCAGGCTGTGAAAAAGGTGAAGAGCCAGACCTTAAAGACCAGTACAGAACACTTCACCAGTGACTGTGCACATTACATTAAAAAGGTGTAGGAAGGTGAAAAATCAAATCACCTAATGGCAACAATCAAACACTCGTTGTGTTTGTGTGTGCAGGTGTACTCTCTGGACAATGCAGATGCCTTCCACAGTTTCTACAGCCCCCATAAGACGCAGCTGAAGAACCCTGTGATGGAGAGGCTGGCTGAGCAGATTGCTACGCTCTGCGCCACCCTGAAGGAGTACCCTGCTGTCAGATATCGAGGGTGAGGGTCAGATACCGAGGGGCGCTGCAGAGATGCAGCTGTGGGTTCTGTCTGGTTAACAAAATCAAACGTATCAAAGCCCTGATCCCAATCTCCATGCTAAAGCCTTAGCACTGAACCCTCACAAACTTAAGTGAGATCAGACGTGTAGTGTGTGAGTCCCTGAGGGTTTGAGGAGGTGTAACAAGACGTGCCATTAAACATTACAAATATTGATCTCAGCATGTATTTCTGTGTATATTCTATAGCTGACTCTAGTAGTCTATAGTCATGCTTGTGTCTTTAACTTGTATACGACTTAATATCACCATTATCGAATATAATTCTAGCAGTACTCATGTAGCATATTTGTATTTTCTCATTAAGATCTCTGTGTGAACTGCAGCTGCCAGAGGTTTAAATAGTTTGAACAAAATTATTTTCAGTCCCCTCTTTTTTTATGACTCATCTTCTTCCTTTACTGTAATGAAATGAAAACTCATCCATCCATCCTTCTGCCTGTCACCCTGTCAGTGAGTACAAGGACAACGCCACCCTGGCCCAACTGGTGCAGGACAAACTGGACGCCTACAAGGCTGATGACCCCACTATGGGAGAGGTGGGCTCAGCTCTTTTTTTCTAAACCTGTTGTCTCATAATCTTTGTCTCTTTAGATAACATTTATCTTTGCCTTTTTACATTTCTGTACCCTTGTGTCTTTCTCTGTGTAGGGTCCAGATAAGGCTCGCTCACAGCTGGTCATCCTGGACAGGGCATTTGACCCGGTCTCTCCTGTCCTTCATGAGCTCACCTTCCAGGCCATGGGCTACGACCTGCTGCCCATCGAGAACGACGTCTACAAGTACGACAAAAAAACCACACATGGCACATCAGAAAAAAAGGTAACTAGAAAAAGAGTTCATTAAGGAAAGAGTGTCTCTGTCCTGCAGGTATGAGACCAGTGGCATGGGGGACTCTCGTGAGAAGGAGGTTCTGCTGCATGAAGACGATGACCTGTGGGTGAGCCTGAGACACAAACACATAGCCGAGGTGTCCCAGTGAGTACCCTTCCTTTCACTTTAATATTTTTGCTCAGGCTTTGGATACCTTTAAATGATAGAACTCTTCTCATGTTTTACTGCCTCTCTGTCATCAGGGAAGTGACACGCCAGCTGAAGGAGTTCTCTGCCAGCAAGAGGATGAACACTGGAGAGAAGGTGAAGAAGAAGCAGCTATTGGAAATCTGAATAGTTGAACGTGTGAATGTACAATTATGTTGAAAGATATTGATAAACTTCTTAATGTGGTTTCTTTCATTATTCTGAACTAAAAAACAATGTGTGTTCATAGCTTGAGCTTGCTAATGTTTATTTACTTTAGACATTCAGGAATAAAGTGATTAAGTGTCATTTAATCTGAAATAAGTTAGTGTTATAGTAGGTGAAAAAAAACAGGTGCTGAATGTTAGCAGAAAGACTGTGAACAGCTAGCCTGGTAAATCAATGACTTGTTTTAACACTAGTTTTATTTATGGATTACTTCAATGAGATCATTTAATTTAGACAGATTTTGTTACGGTCTACCAGGCTAGCTTCTCTCCCTTCATACATTTCAAATGTATACAATCCAGATGGATTTCAACAACATGAAACCATCCTACTTTGTGTTAATGGAGAAACCACTGCCGTCATAAAACTGGTCTTACATCAATAGTTCATTTTTGTCTTCGATGTCTTGTACTGGTGCTGAGATGATTTTGCTTCTGTTTCAACAGACCACAATGAGAGATCTGTCCCAGATGCTGAAGAAGATGCCTCAGTATCAGAAGGAGCTCAGCAAGGTGTGTGTGTGTTGATTAGTGTGTGGTTGTTTTTCTGAGTGGTTGAATATCTATGCTGACCCTGCATGCTTTGTGTTTTTTTTTAGTACTCCACCCATCTGCAGCTGGCTGAGGACTGTATGAAGCACTACCAGGGAACAGTAGATAAGCTCTGCCGTGTGGAACAGGTGAGAGAAAACAAGAAGAGTATGCTTTTTAAATTTAAGATGACTCGTGTATTTTAGGGTTGAAAATGACAAACATGTCTTTGGCAGGATCTGGCTATGGGAACAGACGCTGAGGGTGAGAAGATCAAAGACCCAATGAGGGCCATCGTGCCCATCCTGCTGGATGCCAACGTCAGCACATACGACAAGATCCGCATCATCCTGCTCTACATTTTCCTCAAGAACGGTAAGCAGCATACAGGTAACGGAAAGAAATCACATCAAAGCTAGAGGGATAGATTTACAGAAAGAGAATATGATGTTCATAGGTGTTTTAGATATGTTACATGTTTTGTATGATCTCTTTTTATGTACAGGGTCCAAGACAAATTTCCCTTTTTGGGACAATAAAGTATAGCTTATCTTATCTTATCATAACTTGAAAGTAAAAAATATATATATTTGTTAAGAATGACCTCTCTCTCTCTCTCTCAATGTAACATGACCATATTTTTACAGCCTAGATAGACAAACCAAGCCCAGGCTCTGAAAAAAGCCTGTGGTATTTTAGGAGATATTTGAGAGACATCAGATGGTTGACATCAGAGATCTTCACACTGCTCCACAAAGTGATACATTCTTTTGCTTTTGCTTTCTCATCACAAAAATGAATTCCCCTTCATCCTAAAACCAGCTGGACAAACTGAATGAAAACCTCCATTCTCCTTTATAAGATATGACCTTGGTGTGTGTCTGTTCAGGTATTACAGAGGAGAACTTGAACAAACTGATCCAGCACGCTCAGATCCCCCCTGAGGACAGTGAGATCATCACCAACATGGCCCACCTGGGGGTCCCCATCATCACAGACGTAAGATCCCCGCTGAGTGATGCTCCCTCTCTTTCACTCTTTCTCCAGCTCTCAGTCTGTCATTGTCTTTTGATTTTTTATGTTGCCTCTGAGTGTTTTCTTCTTTTTCACCACTTCATTTGAAACATATGAGCTGTATCGTCCTCTTGTCTGCTGTTCTTATGGATGAAAACCATGTGAAGGAGATGAACAACTTATTCTGGCTTCCATTATTGTTGTCCTTTTTACTCTTTCTGCCTCTCACCTCCTCTTCTCCGTCCTCCTTTAGTCCACCCTCCGCAGAGGAAAGAAGCTGGACAGGAAGGAGCGTGTGAGTGAGCAGACCTATCAGCTGTCCCGTTGGACACCACTGGTCAAGGACATCATGGAGGTGTGTTTTAAAGCTTTCGACTCTATTTGACTTATCTTACACAATGTTGTACTTTACTGATTTACTAAGCGAACCTAAAGTGGGCGTCCTATGGCAACAAAGTAATTGATCTGACATGATTCTTTTGTTATATGTGCACACAACAACAACCTAAATTGAACATCTGTGTAACCAGGATGTTTGTAAGCAACTATTTTTAGCCCTTTATTTGTGCAAAGCCTACTCTCCGATGGTAGAGCCACAAATGGTTGCTAGGAGACATGACACACTGCGAAGCTCCTATCAAACTCTGTTTACATGTGAGGATAGATGGACATCATGGTGACGAAGATGTGTTTGGGTTTTTGTCCCCCTGCAGGATGCTATTGAAGATAAGCTGGACACCAAGCACTACCCTTACATCTCCACCCGCTCCTCTGCTTCCTTCAGCACCACTGCAGTCAGGTAGTTTGTCAGTAAATACACCTTTACATACACAATCCCACACAACGCGAGCTTTGTGGGATTGTAAGGGAATAACACTTTTAAATCAAACAGACAGAAATGATGGTGTTGGATCAATAGTGATTTGAGGAGCAGATCAATTCTTGAGAAAAATCAAGAGCAGGGAGGTGATGTCGATGACTGCGAGGTTAGTGAGTTGTGATCCCAGTGTCAGGATAGCACAGGAGACAATATCTTAATAATTAGACCTTCTACTAATACCAGAAAAAAATCCAAATTGTAAAACTGAAAAGTCAATCACTGTGGAAATTTCCCCCTCAAAAGCACAACAGCTTGAATATCACTCTTTGAAACGTTCTGCCTCTATGTAAGCAAGCTGACCTTAATACAAGTTATCAATATTCCCAACTCCACAAGCACATGAATGTGTCTGTTAGTGGGAGTAATGAAGCCACTTTGAGCCCCACAAATCCTGAACCTCCCCCACTGACACACACACACACACACACACACACACACACACACACACACACACACACACACACACACACACACACACACATCATACTAGGACACATGTAGGTTTGTCAAAGAAAAGCTCCACTGATGCAGTAAAGGCCTGTTTATGTGGGGATGTGATCTCTAATGTGCAATATGGCTTAAAATCATCTTATTCTGTCCTCATCTTAAAGCAGCAATAACCGACTTGAATATGACTGTTTGTAACATGATGGTGGCTGCTCATAATGCCAAAGCCACAAACCTCTATTACCAACTTTACAGTTCCCTCATCTCACGCTCATGCAGTGGTTGTTGGCAGTAAAATGAAGCTGGTAAATCCCCTGCATGTTAGCTGTTGAGAACTAGGTGAAAATAGTGGAGGAATTAGCTGTTCCAGAGACAGGTATCAGGTATAACAGACCCAAATCATAGTAAAGAGAAGTCTGAATATTAGCTGTAGGTGTGATGTTAATTCAATTTCAATCAATTTTTATTTGTATAGGGTTAACTCATAACAAGTGTTATCTCGAGACACTTTACAAAAAGCAGGTAAAAGACCTTACTCATTGTTGTATTACAAAGATCCGGGTTGTTCTGGCAGGCCGTCAACCAGACTCGTCAAGACTTGTGTCAAGATCAGTGTAGTGATGAAAGATACAACAGAAAACTCAAAGTACTTAGTCTTTTTCGATTCTCTGATTTTTTTGAAATTTTCAAAATCCAAATGTGATGTGTGGTGTGTCCAGACTTTATGTCTAACTGTGTGACCATCCATCCATTGATTATCTATAATGCTTTTCTCGCTTGGAGCCGATCTCATCTGTCATAGGGCAAGAGGAGGGGTACACCCCGGACAGGTTGGCAGTAAATCACGGGGCTGACATATAGAGACGGAAACGCATTCATGCTCAGGAACCTGATCAATTTGGTGTGAGGTGAAAGTGCTAACCACTACACCAGCATATATCCCTGATCCATTAATGCAGTAATTAAATCTCTGTCCACATTTTGAAGGGACCTGTGACCTAAAACATGTTGAAATGTTGATAAACAGATTTAGCTTAGCTGATGATGTCATACTAGTGGAGATACAATACTATTTTAGGTGCCTATAAATCCTTACATGTGTCAGGACTGTGATAAATATATTTTTTCTTAATCCTCTCAAGGTGGAAAAAGATAATATCTATTTGAATCAGAAGGTCTCTGTTCCTTAAAACCAATATAACATGTGATGAACCTTTATCAAAACACCTGTTTACATTTCTAGTGCTCGGTACGGCCACTGGCACAAGAATAAGACTCCTGGAGAGTACCGCACCGGACCACGTGTCATGGTCTTCATCATCGGGGGCGTGTCCTTCAGTGAGATGCGCTGCGCCTATGAGGTCACGCAGGCCAATGGGAAGTGGGAGGCCATCATTGGTAAGTAGTGCACCAGGAGGCGCCAGAGAGCGCAGGGCGAGAGCAAGAACGGGTTTATATAATATCTAACAGTTTTGGACACACTAACCTTTAAGAGTAGCTAAACAGCCTCTGATAATCTTGTTTGTATTCTAACCCACTGTAGTGTTAATGTTCACCTTATAGCATCCTGGAGTACACCTGTACATCACTGCAGTGACACCACTGATGAGTGGTTACAAATTGTAGAGCAAACTTCTGACCACACTCAGCGATCCCTATCAGCAGTGTTTGTTCTGCTGTAAAACACTTTTTAAAGCAGTGTGTTAAGTTACTCTTTAGAGCAACACAGGGTGGACGTGTCTTCTAGAAAGTGTAAAAATTGATCAAATCTGCAGCCTAATCCAGCCACCACGTCCTTTGGGGAGGTTTTAGAGGACTGTGCGAGGTTGGACCAGCAGCTGTAGGTTCACCAGGTTCTCTGAAAAAGAGCTGACCTAAATATAATAAAGATAGAGAGAACCATCGAGGGAAATAAAGGAAGTGAGGAGACCGGACAGACAACCCACAGAGATAATAAAGACACATTCATAAAGAAAAGACAACAATTAAAAGCGATCTTCTTTCTGAATTTGATGGTTTTTTAAGCACAGGATCAAATACCAAAACCTTTTGCTAACATAATATCTTTCAATAATTGCTTTATGATGAGTGTCTGTTGATACATTTCTGGAATAAAGCTGCCCTCTTTTTTGAATTAGGCAAAAGATGATCACACATTTAAAGTCGCTATAGAAAAATGTTGACATAGACTTGTTAAAAAAAACACATGATTAAATGTGGTTTTGTTTGGTGAGTCATCAATTATGAGGAATTTTCTGTAAACATATAACTGTCCTTTTTTACATACAAATAACAAATTGCAGGTTTTTCAGGTAGAACAGTATCTTTCCTTCTGTGAATTTCATGCACCCACATCATGAATCCCACACGACTGCACATGATTTTCATCAGATTTGCAGCCCCACACTGAGCTGTTAGAGCTTTAACTAGTACGTGGACGGTGTAGCTGCAGGGAGTCATAACAACCTGCCTTCTGTGTGCAATGTGTTACGTTAACTTAGCCCTTTGTTATGCACCTCTGTACTGTTTATTTCATGTTTTTAAGCTTTGCAGTCAGTCTGTGTTATTAATGGAAAAGTGTCTGTTGTTTTTTGTTGTGCTCTGCTTCAGCTGTTGTCCTTTTTAAAACAACTGTTGTCTTTGAATTGCAGCCATGCCATGTCTTTTCTGTGTCTGTGTGTATTCTGTGTTTTTGACACAAGGCGAGTGTGTGTGATGCGTGTGTGACCTGCCTGGTGATGATTCTATCTGTGTGTGTGTGTGTGTGTGTGGTTGCTTGTTTTTAACCCCTTTGTTTATGCAAGAGTGGGGGAGGGGGCATGGACTGTGCTGAGAGAAGAGTGGTGAAGCCGCCTCTGTTCCTCCACAGGTTCCACCCACTTGCTCACCCCCACCAAATTCTTATCGGACCTGCAGCACCCCGACTTCCGAGAGTCCACTAGGGTGTCCTTTGAGGACGCAGAAGCCTCAGCCGAGTGAGGCAGAGAGAGATTGGGAGGGAGGGAGAGAGAAATCACACAGAAAAAAGTAAAGGCAGCCGCACAAAGAAGCCCTTTCTGAACCCTCACAGTATAAGGGCCTTCTCCCTGTTCCTTCTTCTTCTTTGAACACTCAGTACTGTTTTCTGTAACTCCACCCTCCTACTCCCCTGTAATCCTCAGGGATGGGCATCCCCGACCTCCCCTCAATGCATGGACCTCTTCATCAGGCCCCAGTCCCTGTTTTTCTGTCAGGTGTTAGCTGCCTTGACCCAACAAGAAGGCTGAATTTAAACCTCACCCCACATGCAGACCTCCAGAATTTATCAAGACTGTAAAGAGCCCAATGTGGACTTCTTCAGATTTTACTAAGCTAATATCTCAAAAACATGTAGCCATGCCTCAAAGCATTCCCTGTCTTTTTTTGTCTGTTTTTTCTTACCACTGTAACTTTTGCTGCTTTGCTAAAGTGCTCATGATGGATAGGCCGGGTCTATAGCATTGTAATATAGCAATAAGTAAGGTCTTTTACCTGCTTTTTGTAACATAACAATAAGTAAGGTCTTTTACCTGCTTTTTGTAACATAACAATAAGTAAGGTCTTTTACCTGCTTTTTGTAACATAACAATGAGTAAGGTCTTTTACCTGCTTTTTGTAACATAACAATAAGTAAGGTCTTTTACCTGCTTTTTGTAACATAACAATGAGTAAGGTCTTTTACCTGCTTTTTGTAACATAACAATGAGTAAGGTCTTTTACCTGCTTTTTGTAACATAACAATGAGTAAGGTCTTTTTACCTGCTCTTTCGTCATGTTAACAGACAAAGAGTAAGGTATTTTACCTGCTTTTTGTAAAGTGTCTTGAGATAACACTTGTTATGAGTTGACACTATACAAAATAAATTGAATTGAATTGAATTGTCTATTCTTCCCCTTATATTCAAATTACCTCTGTACTGTATTGAAAAATACTTTAAGCTGTGATGAAGATCATAAACATATTAGGAAGATGTACTGAGTTATTAGATCAGCTGAGATGAAGGGTCATTTCCTCTTCAGTTTTCTCTGTCTGACTTTTCCTGAGTTGCCCCCTGCTGGCCATTACAAAGATTGCATGATATAGATCAGTAATGAATTGGCTTCACTTCTGAAATGAGGAGGCTACATCCACTTCTTACATATCTTATCGTCCATAAAAATATAAATGTATTAAAAATCTAATACATAAACAAATACTTTCATCATGTAAAAACAATCTTTATATGTTACAAATATTTGTGCCGGGGCTGTTTGTATTCAGCCTTGCAGTCTGGTGTCCATGTAACCTTGACATAATAATGCTGAGTATGTCACAGAGTGTCTCGGCCTGAAGGCCTCAGGTTCTTTGGAAACAGCCCAGGTTCTGTCTCTGATGAAGAGTGGCCATGCCTGAGGGGGTTGTGACCCCATCCCTGCTGCCTCCTCCCATCATCTCAGCTGGGTGGATTAAATCGCTCCTCCACAGCCACCCAAAGGCCCTTTGAGCCCGTCGAACACTAACTCCTGATTTAATCTACCCCCGAGATCCATCTTTATCAGTTTTTAGTCGTGTTCTTTTTGTAGTCAACTCCTCGCCAAGACAATCACCTTGATTTTCTTACTCCTTTTTTTTAGGACAGGTCCTTGAGTTGGATTTCAAAAAAGGATTCTCTCCTTTTTCCTTGTTTTTTTTTTTGTTTGTTTTTGACTCCCAGTCCTCTGACCTGGTCCATGTCACTTTCTCTCAGACCACCATTACATGCTTACATGTCTCATGGCTCTTCTGCAGAGGGCGCTGAATAGAAGCACATGTCATCCTTATCTGGATAATACCGTCAGGTTGCTGACTCACAGGGCAACTTTGGTGGCAACTTGAAAAAGGAAACAGTAATAAGTTCAGAACAATTAAGTGCAGTTGCCTAGAAAGTTGTCCTTCGTTTCACATCCACTTTGATGCCTCTCTGCGGACAGAGCCGGGGAATGTAGTTATGTTCCACCTGATACGCTTTAGCAAACCAATCAAAGTAAAGATGCTGCACACCCATGTGAACAAGAGAAGCTCCATTGCATTGGTGTATACCTGAACAGAATAAATACGTTTATTTACAAAATAATCTGTTTACAAGTAGAAAACAGTAATCAAGCATTTAAGTCAAACAAAGTGATCAATCATTAAAAGTATTTTTTATATTTTTTGATCTGTCTCTATTCACTAATACACATACAGTAGTTATAAACGGTCACTGAGATAGTTTCCAGTGTGCAGGGTGTGAATGTGTTAAAGAATCTAATCATTTGCAACCTTACTTAGGTAAATTGTATGAAATATTAAAAGAACTGAATCATCCAGATATGTTATGGGTCACATTTGGTTTTCATTTTGGGGCGATGTGTGTTGTCTTAAAGTTAAGCTTTCTTTAAACTTGTAAAAGTTGTAAAAACTGTATTTGGAAATGGATGAAGGATTTCTGCATGAGATGTCAGACGTCTACATGGTCAGCTTCAGAGCTTCTCCTCGTACCTTGGCCAAGCATTTTTAAAATATTGAGTTTTATTTAATCATATATGTTCATACAGGTATAAAGTGCTAACAGTTAAAACAAATATGGTTATTCTTAAACACCTTCTTGGTAGATGTAATAAATAACTCCAGTTTGCATTCATACCCATGACTGCCTCATTGTTCATTTTTGTAAAGAATTAGCTAATTGACTTTTAAATACTCGACCCCATATAAACACACATTCCCATCTAAAGCTGGACTTTCTTTCACCCATGAAAGACTGAATATTGCAGACCTGGGTAGCTCCCTCATCCCTAACTAATCTGCTAAAGCGATATCGTTTGCAAACCAACTTTTTGGTTTTTATGGTTTTCTCAGTAAGCAGCTCTCACCATCAGCAGTATGGCTGCCCCCCCGCATACTGCTGCTTCAACACTTCCTGAGCAAAATGGCCATCACTTACTAAAACAAGTCTTTGTTTTTTTTTAATGCTATTTTGGTCTTAGTCATGTACAGAAATAATCTAGTGACTATTGACATCAAAGTCACTGTGTTGTGTTTCTACGAAGCTGTGTGTTTAGGTAACAGCAGAGAAGTAGGTGAAGCCACTCCCACTTAACCCCCCCCCTCACCACCACCTATACTCGTGACACTTACGACCCCCACATCAACATATTAACCCAGATCCAGATGGGCTTGCCTATTTTCTCTGCTGTTTGTACCTAAGGTTCCTCCACTCCCTGTTCTGACCCCTCACAGACTCCAGCTCAGCTTTACTGAAGACCATTGAAAGTAAAGCTCCCGATCAAACCAGAGTGAAAGAAACACACAGCTTTGCACCAGAAACAAATCAGTGTAGCTGAAATGCTTTTGATAATGTCGAACAGGTGTGAGGAGTAAATCAAACGAGTTGCGTAGTCATTCATCTGTAAATCAGGTGATTGAGCAGCAAACAGAACTGGACAAAGGTTTGTTTTACTCCACACATCACCACCTTTCATGTTTTGAAAAATCAGAAATGTGTCTTCAGCTGTCACAAGAGTTCATCCCTGTGTTAGTACAGCGCTAGATTTTACATTGACATTCATGTTTATGGCAGAAAATCGACCTAATTCTTGGATATTCATGACATGTAGGGTAGATCTGCTTTTGTTGATTTTCAGTGTCCTGCATGCTCTTTACTTTAAGTCCACCTCTTTTTCTAACACCTGATTGGCTGTGCATTGTAGAGTGGTGACGCGTTGCAGGATTTCAACCAGCCCCCCCAAAGCTTTTAACTCACACATTCATGCCAGTCGTGTAGTTTCATTATTTTATATGTGCTTCCATATTCGTCAGCTGCATGTGAATTCAGACCTGTGTTATGTGTCTGTATCCAGCTGTATGTCTGCAGACTGAAGGATTTAGAGTAATAGTCAGATCTGTGTGTGTAGGGTCTAATGTACATAATATTACATTTGTTTCAATCCAAATCCTTATTGCTGACGTTGGAATTACATTTGTGTCAGTAATTGATGGCCTGTTGTCGTATGCACCATTATACAAAGTGTGCCGATCCAGTGAAATTTGATTGGCCACACTCACACAGGCTTGAAAACTGTTTTTAACAGTAAGAAAAAAAGATGTTTTGATCAAGGTTTTCTTGAAGCTATGAAGATTTATTTTCTCTCATTTGTAGTAAATCATAAAAGCATTTTACTCCGAATTTATGATCAACACTGATAACAGCAGATGGATAGTCTACTGGGGATTTGAACTTCAATGAAAATCCTTAAATTTAGACATCAGTGGGCACATTCATGAGGGGGAATCTACATTCTGATTATTTGAAGTAGCAAAATTGATTACAATTTCCTCTGCAGGCTGTCGAAATTCTTCAAATCAATGCCTAAATAATGTCTACCTAACAGTAGCAAGGACCATCTATAAGGAAAGTCACCTGAACTAGTTTGCAAGTACAACAAATGTAGTTCATTATCTGGGCTATAGTGTTAGTCGTTATAACTTCAGGCTACTCAGTGCTGCTAACATCACTTCCATCATTATGTCACACCACCCTCATCGAAAGTAGCTGCATCACAAGAGCTGAAAACACATTTTGATCTGTTCCCTTCCTAAGGTGCTGATCTAATGCTGAGTATTTCTGTGTGTGTGTGTTTGTGTGTGTTTGACAAACGTGTGTGTCTCCAGGATCGACCAACATCTTCACCCCCACCACCCTGCTGGAGCAGCTCAAGGCCATGAACAAACCAGACGAGGAAGTGACAAGCTAAAATCCTCCAACAACATCGCTCTCCTCTTTCCCTTAACCCCACTGCCCTTTGACCCGTCTGTCCCCTGTATCCTTCCCTACGTTCATGTGTATGCATCTTGCTTGAGAAGACAAAAAAAGACATCTTAGATGATAAAAAATATATGTTGTATCAAAGAATAAAACTGTTGCAAGTATTCTCATGTTTTACAATGGATGCAACTAAATGAACTTATTAAAATAGGTTTAAATATGAGAACAGAAGGCCATTTAAAACTGAAAGTACCAAAATGTAATATTGTATGCTATGAAACCTGCTAGAATGTGTAAAGGTAGACATATCTCATTCCTTTGGGTTTCCTCCTTGCTGTGAGTTTTATTGGAAGCTGATGGAGGAGGGCTGTGCAGTTTGAGAGGTTGATGTTGTAAAATATATCATATCAGTCAACATGCAATATATTTAAATATATCATCAGAGAGGACCCACACCCCCCCTGCCCATTTGAGATGTTCGTATTCAGTAGCATGCTTGGACTTTGTGTGGACTGTTAATGTGTTTGTATCCAGTGTGGAGGTTCTGGGAGCCGCAGATTTAGCATTTAGCTTTTTTTCCTTAAAGAGCTTGAATACTTCTATGAAAAAAAACTTGTTTTGAGTATCAAAATGTATAAAAATAGGCTTTCATATTTATGCAATAGTTTAGATTTATGTATGATATCTGGCAGCCACAGACTAAAGCTCTGTCTTCTTTATATGTTGATGGAGATGAAACTGTTTGGAACATTTGGAGCGTACAGTAAGATATGGACAACTAGGACTATGCAACATGAGTGGTAGAAGAGTCTGGGATGTTTCCAAACAGTTTTGTTTGGGGGGGTGGGTTGAAACCATGCTGCACCCTAGCCACTGTAGGCCTTGAGCACAAAGAAGTTGCCAATGATGGTTATATTCTCACAGACTTGGAGAGTCAACCTCTCTGCTGACGATGGTGAAATTGGCATGAAAACTTTATTGTGATTTGCCAAAACAGTGAAGAAGCTAGTGATGTGCAAGAAAGGGTCATTTATATTTGTAGTGGGTGAATATCTGTTGAGGAGAAGATCTTTGTTGGGCTTTCGGTGTCCCTGGCCTCAATTAATATAGATCTGTACAGACCCATGTGCTGCTTTGGACGGCCTTTATTTCAGGACAAAGTGCAGGTTCCTTTTTTAAACAAGTGAACTAAAACGCTAACGTGGTATATAAGAGAGGGGAGAGGGTCATGGTGGTAACTTGTAGTCTTACAAACTACAGATTTGATTCTTTTGGAAGTCACAGTGGCAATGTTACGCAAATGTTTGATACTCGAAACAAACATTTTCAGAGAAGTATTTTGTTAACACTAGGTGGAGCAGATGTTGAAATGGAAAACGCTCTGTAAAAAAGCCAGAATCATCCCCCCCCCCTCCACCTGTTGAAACTGTAAAGTATTTACTTACCACAACATTTTCCTTTCTCTGGACAGACTTCACGTTTTAATGTCAAAGAGGCCGTTGCTTGCTGATATTTATGAATAATCCTACAGGGCCAGTTGTATTTCAGTATTGTGTCAGACTCAGTCTTATCTTTGGTTAGTAACAATGTTTAATTGGGCCATGCACTGAGTAGTGTTGTGTATATGCCATATGTTGCTGTTTTAGCGTCTCACTGTTGACTGGTGATATTTCTAACTGTGAAGTAGTGATACTTTTCCTTTCAAAAAGCCAATGTGAAGCCTCTGTGTTTGTGATGTTTAGCTCTAGCTGTTAGTCGTCAACTGGGAAAAAAGAACTTCTATCTATTTTCTTTGTCTGTTTCCTCCTCTGGTGCAATGTAAAACCCTCTGATGGTGAATGGCTTTGCAAAAAAAAGAAAAATGACACTCACCCTTTTGACTTTTTATTCCCCCTCCTCCCTTCCCTTCCGCCAAACAAGTTGTATATTGCACTATAATGCGTTTTCTGTGATGCAAACGCTTGACTTTGTGTTTATTTATTTATTTTATAATTTGCTGTTGTATAGGGTTTACTCAAATCAACGGAGTTATTCAAAAAGTCTAAATAATTTATCAGAGAAGAGATAATAATGTTACATTAGTCTGTCCTAAAACTGTTGAACTAATCGGGATTGTATGTTTGCGAGTGTCGAAGCACAAACAGTACTTCCATGTGTACCTCATATGTACTACGGCTGTCTAATAAATTGGCTTCCATCAAAGTAAGTCTCAACTCTTCTTTGAATACCGTCACGTTAGAGTAGATTCTTCAAAAACATTTCAAATAAAAAAAGGACCCAAATATTAATTTAGCACATTTAATAAAGGATACAAAAGTAAAAAGAATTAAGGTAATAATTCACTAAGAACACCCACAGTCATCTTATGTTAGTTTTTAAAAGAGCCTAATTTATAATTCTACAAAAATAGTCTTATGTTAAAACTTCACATGAAGCTCGTCACCTACAATAGATCTCATCCTACGGCTCATATTCTGGCACTTAAAGGCATGTGACTAAAAATGATACTTTACAAAGCTTATCAAAAACATTACAATTAAAAAATTCTACAAACATAGAATAAATTATCAACATATAAACAGACTCATTTTGAGGATATCCAGTATCCCATGTCATTGGCCACATTATTATTATGGTCATTGGAAAGCACGATATCGGCATCCTGTAAGAACAGTGCATTTCAGTCACAGTGCAGCACGCTACTATCGTTACATTGAAACAGTTTACAGGCCCTCTAAAATAATGAGTTCACATTCTTGCATAACAAAATGTTAAAACACTATTGTATTATCAATAAACCGACATGTGGTCAATAAATAGCTCAAAATATCAGAGTGTGATTCACAGAATCTTTATCAAACTGAGCTACATCAGTTGCAATTCATAGAGCTACCTGAGTCTTGATGTGTAGAATTTATAAAATACATTTTTTAAACAAATGAATTAGAAAAAAAATGAAAATCTAAATAGCAGAAAAGTTTTATTATTCATTTGGTCCAAACCTCCCACTTGACATCTCCAGGTTGATTGATTGGCTGAGGTTAACTGGTGTCGAGTTTATGTCTCCCAGTCTGCAGTGATCCGACTTCAGTAGCTGCAGGAAGCACTGAGCAGCTGGTGGTAGTGCAGTCCTGAAGCCAGCGAGCGAGCCATGTGTCCGGAGGTGTGCTTCATGTGCCGGGCTGCTCTGATGGCTCTGTTCAGAGAACCGTCCGCACAGAGCTGACGGTCAGCAGACAGGGAGCGTCTTGTCCTCGTCCTCACCTCCCCCCGTCCTCTGACCCCTGAGGATGTGCCAATGCTGTTGCTAGGAGACATGTAGCGGGGCAGAGAGAAAACCCTGAAACAAGGGGAAGGTAAATGACGAAAAAAAAAAAAAAAAAGTAAAGCGTCATGTCTGCTAAACACAACATTTTCAGCTAGTGTAAAGTTTAAACAAAACAATAACACCATATGATAGTTAATGATAAGTAACTTGTTTGAAAAGAATTTCAGGGCTCAAAGTTTATGAGGTAAGAATAATGTACGCCAAGAAGATATCTGAAGTCAGAGCACTAAAGCAAAAACCGTCAGTCGGCTCCATCTTTTTTTACTAAACTGTCTTACTCTGCACTCTGTGGGCAAGAAACAAGTGACTTCTCGGTTCATGTTGGACGATATACAAGCTGATGTATGTTAAAATATGTCGCTAGAACTGCGCCTAGCCAAAAAGAATATTATGACTTATAAAGCCTATTACAGTTAGGCTAATATAAAATCAATAACCTATTGGCAAACTATTGCTACAGTATTACATACTGTTTTAATGTAAGTTATATGTAGTATGAAAGTGTGTAAATAAACTTTTTTTGCACATCATCACTTGCAGGTGCAAGAGCATGTTACTTACAGGAGTGGTGGAGGACACACTGGCATGCAGTGCAGCGGTGAAGCTGCAGCTGTAAAGTACTTGCTGCTCAGACCTGCAGGGTGGGACTGGGCTGGATGGCAGGTTGTGTGTTTGCTGGAGTCTGAGACTCTGTGACAGTCTGTGAACCACAGAGCAGGTCAGGAGCTCCATCAACACATTAGATAATAAAAATGTATTTCATTTACTGCAGACCGAACTGATTTCTATTCTGAGCACTATCACTGTGCAGAACTTATTGCTGCTGATGCTTAAAAACAAAGTCTGAGTAAGTTACGAATCACAATAGAATTGTTATAGAAAAGGCCTGAGTCTAACCTGGGTCAGCGCTTCTGTTCACATCAGGGCATCCACAGAGAAGACAGTGGTGACAGTGAGAGGAGGGGGGCGCCTCTCTGTTGCTAACAGCTGGTTTGTCTGAAAAAATAAACAACAAGCAGAACAATTAATAAAACAAACGAAACTGCACAGCTGGAAACAAGAGACAAGTAAGAACAAACAAAAGCAGGACAAAACACAGGATGAAGGACTCCCCCCCTCCCCTTACGTGCAGGTTGCCCCCGGCGATGTGACAAACACTGCGGACAAAGAGGAGCTTTATGACTTCTGCTGTCAGGTTCATCTGCTGTTTCCGACACCCCAGGGTGCTGCCCTGCAACAAATGCAGACACACTCATCAGTGGCAGTAACAATCTTTTCTGACAGATTTGAGTTCTAAATAAAGTCAGATACTTTTGTTTAAAGACTGTGTTGCCATGAATAATACGTAGTTACATGTCTGCAGTGTAGAGAGCTGCATGTTCTTACTGGTCTGTGTTGTGCTGTGGACTTTATTCGTATGTAAACAGTGGCTGTCTCGTGCTGCAGCAGATGTTTGAGTTGATCTGGACACCAGAGGTGGTGGTTCAGGTGTGGACAGTTCTGCACCTGTCAATGAAAAAACAAATGCACAAAGTGATGCTATATTGCTAACTGTTTGTGCTTTCTTAGGATGAAAGTCCATGAATGTTTTCTATGTGTAATATTTTTGTACAATTACATTGACTTCAGTGTCTCATTCTCTTTGGCATGACAGAATGTTAAATTATCATGCTGGATTAAATGTGTTAGATTGACCTACAGTCATCAGGTTGTGTTTTCTGTCTGTGTGCAGAGGTCACTCTCTTCCTTGTTGTTCGTCTTATTGTTGACACCTCATCAGCTGCAGGTCTGTCTCTTCTGTCCCTGCTTGCTTCACTCCAACGCTCACCAGACCTTAGCAATGGGAGGTCAAATATAAATACACAAGAACAGAAATGCAAACAAAGACAAAAAAGCAGACGATTGGAAGATAAAAACCAACCTGGAGGGAGGTGTAGAGGTGTGTGTGTAGTTCTCCTGTGTTAATGGAGCTGCTCTTAGAGAACTCTGAGGCCTTTGATTTTTTGAACAGCTGTCTAGTTTCTCCTTTAGTCTGCTCACCTCTTCCTGAAGAGCCTGGATGGCAGCACTTACATGTAAAACATACAAGAGCAAACATGAAGAAATCTAATTAAATGACTTACATTAAAAGTTAGATTTGCATTTAGTATCATAGAATGTTTAAGTTTTTCACCAACACACATTTCCAAAGCCAAACAAAGTCAAGTCCAGTACAAGTGAACACTGAAGTGCTGCACTGTGAAAATATTCAAGTTTCAAAGTGAATTTGAAAGTGTCCTTGAGGGTGTCAATGCAAAACATAACACAAACTCTTGGAGAAAAAAAAAACCATGCAACACCACACCAAGCAGAAAACAATACCTCCTAATATGAAATGACATTCATTAGCAGCCAGTTCTGTAATAAAATACACAGAAGAACATGATGATAGGTGCTGTAAAGTCATTATAGGTTAAAACTAAGAAATATGTCCAGCAGTCTCTGCAGGGAAACGTAAAGCTGCCATTATTTGCACAGCGATCACAGCTGCTGCTACACACACTCACTTGCGATTCTCCACCTGACTGGAGCTCGGTGCTCTGAGAGAATCTCTATGGTGATAGCGTGCAGCGGGGGAGGAGCTTAAGCTGGAGCTGTGGAGGGAGTTGATACATTCTGTGTACCGGTCATAGTGTTTGTCTTCAGACGCAGCTGCAGAAAACAGAGAAAGAAAGCACAAATTAATGTAAGCTATATATAAACACAGGAAGGCCTTAGCATTGACATAGAGATTTAAAAAAAGTACATGATCAAACAACTTGGAGACTCACTGCTGTCACTCTGCAGCCCAAATTCACTGGTCTCACTGTCAGCTCTGCGGCGCTGTGGAGAGCAGGAGAACATGCGTCTTCTCCGCCCCTGTCTGCTTCTTTTTGGTTGGTCATTGCTGAACTGGGAGCCTCTTCTGTGCTCCACAGCTGTTTGACTGTGTAACTGGGAGCAGGCAGGAGATGGTGCTGAGGCTGGGCCTGTCTGAGGTTTTCCTTGGTTCCCCTCTTGATGCACTAAAACACTGCAGCACGGGGGAGGACAGAAAACACATGAGACAGGATCAGTAATAAAGTGAAGGGGGGGGAGGTTGCACATGAGGGTAAATTTATGGTGCAGTTAAATTGTGTAGAGGCACTGAAGCAGTTTTAGACTTCCTCACCTCTCTGCTGTCCTCTGGTGGAGACGACAGGGAGCTGCTGCTGGGGTCAGGCGGCTGCTCTCAGATCCAACAAACCCACTGTCCATCTCCGGAGAGATAATCCCATCCTGGTCAACGCAGCACAATAAAGTTATGAGATTGTTCATGTTTACACCAACAGTCTGAACCCAAGTTCATTAAACACTAATCTGGCAAATAACATAGTTATTAGAGTTCATGGCAGACAATGGCTACAGTCTTGATTAATTTGTCAAATACATTAAGTAGTTCTCAAGGAACAAACCTTTAATTATTTGTACCGGTACTGACATTTTGACTGTGCAGTAAAAGAAAAGAAAATGTTACATCCTTGAATCCTATAACTGATTCTTGCAGAAAAAATCAAATCAAATCAAAATAATTAGTTATTAAGCTCTAGATTTAGAGAAAAAAAAGGCTGTACAAATAACCAAATATAAGGCAATCACTTATATCACTCACTAAACTATTCCTCCATTGAAAATGATAAAAGCAGCATCACATAGTTAACTGACCTGAGAAAGAACTCTGTTGATCCCTGTTGGGAGTTTCGTGGTCCTCCTTTCCAACGCAGTCATTTCTCCCAGACTGCTCAGACTGCTGCTGTGGGACTTTCCCATCTCGACACTTCTTCTGCTACTGGGAGAAGGAGAAGGAGGACTAATG